GAGAGAGAAAGAGAGGGCTGCCAAGCTATTAAAATTTTATTCTAATACACAATGTGTATATATATATATATATTTATTTATTTATTACAGCTCAGAAGTGGCATGAATGCATTTACACTGTATATGACCCTTCGCAGGGAGTTTTATTGACAGGCAATCTGACCAATCATAATGCTGAATCTGCCATTTTTGTCGGTGGACTTGAACGTCGGTGAGGGCTGCCAAGCTATTAAAATTTTATTCTAATACACAATGTGTATATATATATATATATATTTATTTATTTATTACAGCTCAGAAGTGGCATGAATGCATTTACACTGTAAATGACCCTTCGCAGGGAGTTTTATTGACAGGCAATCTGACCAATCATAATGCTGAATCTGCCATTTTTGTCGGTGGACTTGAACGTCGGTGGACTTGAACATAAAAAAAGGTGTGCATTGATGTCTTTCTGCGGCCGAAACAAGATACCTTCTCATGTTCATTCATGTTTATTTCATGCTATAATTAGTAAAGCGGAAGAGGCGATCGGTTCATGTGCTGCTTGAACTGAGGCGCTAATTTGTCACGACACATTAAAGAGCCACAAAACAGTATTTATCGTTTCAATTTCTTAAATGACAAAATTTTAAAGCTGTGACTTTGTTTCATACCTAAAGTAACCTGCTTTGTTTTGTCCTTCGGCACGTTGTCATTGTCCTTTTTGCTCCGTGATGTATTTTTCACTGCGTGAGAACATGAGCATCATGGCTTGTCGGACATAGCAACAGTAACAAAGGGGGTGGGTCTTTGCGAAGGGTCAATTACAATTGCATAAATAATGCCATGAGATTAATGGGATTTAAATGGGCATTTAAGGAATAGTTCACCCAAAAAAAATTTATTCTGTCATCATTTACCCACTCGCAGTTGTTTCAAAATTGCATGACTTTCTCAAACGGAAAATAATTTGAGAAATGTTTTTGTGTTTTGTTTTTGTTCATACAATGGAAGTCAATGGTAACCAAAACAATTTGGTTATCAGTATTCTTCAAAATATCTTCTTGTATTTTCCGCAAAAGAAAGTCATACAGATTTGAAGCGACATGAGATTCTAATGAGTAAACAATGACAAAATTTTCAATTAAACAATCAAATAAATAAAGAGAAAGAAAAAGCAGCTCCCATATTCTACCCTTTTCATGGAAATTGCTACATGCTTAAATTTGTGTATCGTTAAATGCAATGATGGCAAGCAGGGAGACATTGTAAAAACGGGGGTGTTGAAAGAATATGCATATTTTTTACAAACCAGGACAGCTGCAGGTGTCAGAAATATCCAATCAGTAGTTGTGTCAAACTCGTTTGACTTAAGGGTCATGAACTGGGTTGTAAACTAAAGGCATCTTTGGATGGCACTTTGGGATGTGGAATTTATAGCTGAACTAACAAGTAACGACCATCTAGGATATTTACTGTGAACCAAAACAAAGCAACATTAGATGACAAAAATAACTGTAGTACAAAACTTCAATCTAATCTTCACCTCCCTTGAACTAACTACAACTCTTAAGTCCAGTTGTTTAAGAGAATTGCTGAGTTGTCTCAAATTCTCTACCCATAAATCTTTAAAAGTGAGCTGGGCTAACAGCAAATTTCGCAGGTCTCCAGAACTAACAAGTAACGACCATCTAGGATATTTACTGTGAACCAAAACAAAGCAACATTAGATGACAAAAATAACTGTAGTACAAAACTTCAATCTAATCTTCACCTCCCTTGAACTAACTACAACTCTTAAGTTCCAGTTGTTTAAGAGAATTGCTGAGTTGTCTCAAATTCTCTACCCATAAATCTTTAAAAGTGAGCTGGGCTAACAGCAAATTTCGCAGGTCTCCACAAGCAGGCTTGGCCTCCCATCTTCTCCCTGTCTTTCATTGTCTGTGGCTGTGGTTTAAAGAAGGCCATACATCTGCTCGACTGGCGGGCCGAGATTACAGGCTCACACCAAGAAAGCCACTTTCTGCCCATGATTACAGTTTTCGTCCGTAAAAATAGAGCAGGCTAGTGGGGCACTCCCAGGTCCTGCTCCGTTACTAATCTCACACATGTCACAATGTCTGCCACAGCTGCAACTGAATTCAGCCCAGAATATTTCAGGCTAAAGTTTCTCCCCCAACAAGCGTAGCAGCAATTTGGTGCATAAACAACTAACATAATTGCTTTCATTGATGCATGAGGAATATTGTAACGTCAAAATTTGCGATACGGATCTTGCAATAAATGAATGTGGCAAGTCTGAAATAGAAAAATTGGAAGTTGTTTTTGTAGGAAGTTCTTACTTGTGGAAATAATATCTTCATTAAGACTATGTTGAGAGAGATTTTCTTCAAACTCGTTTTAATCGTCGAATGAGAGAAAAAAAAACACTTCATGCTGTAAGCTTCCATCCTGACATGCTTTGCGGATACAGTACTTCAAAGAGGACTTGCCGTTGGCTATTTCCGGACTAGAAAGCAGAGTGTGCAAAATATCTCAGCAGTACAAACATAACGCTCATATTACATAGAAAACTCACTCAAAGAACGCTATATACCATTTCATGTCTTCAACAAAACAAGCCATTTGAGTAAGACACCAAACATGCATGAAGTCAAACGGTCCAATATCAGATACCTTACCTCCGAGTTAAAACGGATCTGGCAGACATTACAGGAAATGATTGGCCGTTTGGTCTTCACCAGTGGGACTCCAAAGGTGTGGTTGATCACTGCCTTCTGAACAGGATCCATCTGAATACAGAACAGGAGAAGAAGAAGAGGGAAAGGGAAAAGAGAAAGGACGTGTGAAACTAAATTCTGGTCCGACTCCCATTAGACAGACAAGGTCGTTAATCATGTTGATGGAAAGGTCTATGTGGCAGTACAGTGGCAGCAGAACATGGCTAAGGGCGGCCATATGGTGCAAAGAGTCAGGACACCTGTGAGATGAAGTCAGGGTGAGCAGCGAATCTCCTGCACAAATGTTGTCCGGCCCTGTATTCAGTTACAAAATATCAATGGCTTAGCTAATAAATGAAGACAACCTAATTACTTACTTGGCTTTAAGGAGGTCACACTACACTAAATCATTTCTAAACAAGCATGTAAACTGCATAACAAAACATTCCTGAATAGACTCATGAATAGAGCATGAAATTATATTATGATATTATATTGTCTATCTGTCTGTCTATCTATCTCAATAATTTATATTCATTTGTTATTTAATAATTATTTGTTCTTAATATTATTATTAATTAAATATATTATTTAAATAATTGTTTAAACCACACACATTATGTATATAATGTATGTTATATACATGTATATAACACAAAAATATTATACATTTTATATTTATGTATATAATACATATATATGGCTATATAAAACTAATATATGGAATATAACTAAATATAATTATAAATAAAACTAATGAAAATCGAATTAAATATAACTTAAATATTTAAAATATATTGGTAACCGTAACACTATATTAGGTCCCTTATAAGGTCCCACAATAAGGTCTCTGTTATTTAATGCATAACTAACACTAAGCAACAATGAGCAATACATTTGTTATAGTATTGTAATTATTAGATAATAAATGTTGGCTCAGGTCTATTAAACAGATACAACTTTTGATTTTAATAACATATACAGTATTTATTCATTTGTTTTTTAAATAATATTATATTAAAATTATATAATATATTAATATATTATATAACATATTAAATATATTTTTTAAACAGTTATTTACACAATAATATTTATGTACATACTACACACACACTCACACACACACATACACACATTATCCTTTAAATTGTTTCTGTTAGATCAGTGTCCACCATGTAAGAGGTCAGGTTTTAAAATAAATGTAACCAGTTATCCTAAGTACCGCATCCAATAGCACCTTACCAGATGGCTAAGCCTCTGTTTATGACCAGTTTAATGCACAAAGCCTGATGGTTGCAGTCCAAAAATCTTTGGCCTTGTGGTCTGCATTCGCAGCTCTATTGTCATATGATTCCTACCATTATTATTTGCCTGATATAGTTTAATTTCATTTGAACATTTTGACTTGACATTTAATGCAGTTAATCTCCGTACTGTACATTTACAACAAATTCATCAACACTGTCTTTCTGTCAAACTTGATTTTATTATTTTATTTATTAATTTTTTTTGACTAATGAAGTGGAAAGTGATACAGTACATCTAGTTACAGAAAGAAAATGTTTAACCTTTCAAAAACATCTATAATGGTTGTGCTTTTCATTCCAACTTCTAAGAACAATAGTCTTAAAACAGGCCAGTTTGGAACATCTTCTCTTGGCTGGGAAAGACGGGGAAAGGCTGAAATGAATATTCTCTTAGTCAAACAAAAACATTTTGAAAATCTGCAAACGGATCGTATCCAAGCAACCCCCCTACTAGAAGCAAACACACAGAGAGCCTAGATGTGGTTCAGGGTGACCGCGCACACCATTTGTGGGTTAGCAGGCCTTGCACCGGACTTCCTCCGAATTTTGCCTCTTATCTCTTTTGGCACAGGCCTGAAAAGTCGTTTCTGCGCTCCGTGGAGGGCCCTGATGCCGTTGTGCATGTGCAAAGTCCACACTACATCAGTCAGACAGGCACTGGATTAGTCACAATGATGTTGTTCAATGGCTTTGCCTTCATGAATCTCCAGAGGATTAAGTGAAGCTGGCAGTTAGCTGGGTAATCAGAACACCTCCAGCTAGAACACATCAATAGATACAACTGTCAGTACTAACAGCCTCGGCGAGGAAACGGACGAGGGAGGGGCGCCGACGGGCCCTACGGGAAAAAATCAAAGGCCTCTCATAAGAAAAAGATTACTTTTAAAGGCTCACGTCTTTTTTTAAAGTCTACTGGCTGCGTTTCAACTCAGAACGCCCTTCTAATCAAGATTTAATAACATACAGAAGTTAACATGCATCTATAGACCAAAATCCTGGGTGTTGGTCCATCATGCTTCACGTCGTGAAGTAAAAATAGCACTGCACTGAAGTGGTCTTCTGCTGGTGGTGATTTACTCCTCCGACTTTCTCGGAAAAAGAGAGACATCTTGGCTCATGACTATCCCAACAAATTTCCTTCAACGTAAATTATGTTATGATACAGCTTACGAGGATGCATCAAGAATCTAACTAAAGAAACCACCAAACCACAGCTGAAAGATGCTTTAAAGGCGAAAATGTGTATTCGGTCATCATCTATTCACCCTGATGTCGTTCCAAACCTACATGACTTTCTTTCTTCTGCAGAACAAAAGATATTCTGAAGGACATACAATGTAAGTCAGTTGGGTCTAAAACAACACTGGACTCTACTGACTTACATTGTATGGAAATTTTTTGAACAACGGAAATTATTTTTGAACTATCCCTTTAAAGGCCAGTATGTGAAATATTGCTAGTATTATCAATGCCTCTCTAACATGCTGTTTTTGTGGTATTGGCAGACACTGCATCTATACAAATTATCAAAGTGAGCAATTCACAGCGCATGTTACATTCATCCATTTGGCAAGCACAGTGTCTGTCATATGACCTCCTGATGCTCCCTCTGGAAAATCGCATCCCACAAACTGATAACTGTTCAAAAATAGCCAGATTCTTCTCATTAGAAAAGCACAGACCTTTTAATGACCCCTTTTAAGGGCCATAATTTACTCAGTCTTATATCATTCCAAACCTTTATGGCTTTCTTTCTTCTGTGGAACATACTGCAAAGTAGTGATTATTCTATACAGTGAAAAGTCAGTGGGGTCCAATGTTGTTTTGGACCACATTAACTTTCACTGGACACTCACAAAAAAAAAAAAAAGGTACAAAAGCTGTCACCGAGACAGTACCTCTTCAGCAGGTACACATTTGTACATACAGTATCATATCAGTACCATAAGTCCATATCAGTACCTTAAAGGTACATATTATTACCTAAAGTATATACATTAGTATCTAAAATGTATAAAAATGCACCTTTTGAAAAGTAACTGCCACAGTTACAGCTTTTGTACCTTTTTTTCTGAGAGTGTATGGACAAAAACACATGAAACATTTGTTAAAATATCTTCTTTTGTGTAGTGCCAAACAAAGTCATACAGGTTTGAAACAGAATAAAGGTGAACAAATAATTGTGGGTGAACTATCCTTTTAAAGGAAATATGCCCATACAATAGTGTCATAATATTATTTAGATTTTAAAAAGATCTTATGTCAGTTAATAGAAACCATGGATTGTTTCAGCCTGCCGAACACCACAAGCCCAAAATGCACTGCATTCAAAGTGCAATGGCAGATAAAACATCCCACTAAGTTAACAAATGCTGTTCGGCATCCAGCGCTTTGCACAGAGAAATGTACTCAGCTTTGTTACGTCTCTGCCTGAGCTATAGCCGGAGGGCACTCACCTTCTTATCCTCAGAAGCGCTTGGATCTCGCAGCTGCATTGGATCCTCCATGAGGGAACTCGTGTTTGTGTGTGGGAGGGTGTGTGTGAGAGTGTCACTCATCCAGAAGGGATCCTAGCTGTCCCACCACACCACCTGATTCTCCCACATTCACACGCTTCTGTGCCCCCTTCTGGGGACACCAGCGAGCAATTCTTGTGTTTACAGGTCCAAGATATGATTAATTGTTGTCTCTCTTCCTAGTTTTGCTTCTTCTTTTCCACAGTCAGTCGTCACTCTTGCCGTTATGGTTTGGTTTCTCGTTCTCCGTTGCTTAATCTCATCCACCTTCCTTCCATTCCTCCCTCCATCCTTCCTGACACTTCACAGCAAGCCAAGACTACGATCCTGGTTGGATGCTCTCTCTTCATTTTCCTCTGCCTCTTACTTGCTTTTCTTTCCTTTCCTTTCCGTTTTTTTACTCCAATAATAAATTCTGTCGTTCTTTCCTGTGCTCTCTTTCACTGATCTCCTTCCTCTTTCTGTTCTCTTTCTGCTCACTCGCTGACTGCTTATTTTGCCCAGATGCACTAAGAATGTCATGCACTCGCTCACTCCCCAAATCACCCTCCACTCCCTCATTCTATCAAAAGCACAAGCTGCAGAATTCAGCCCTCCTCTGGCTCCCCCGTCATGATGGTCCTCTCGCTCTTGCCACATACCTTTACAACACATGTGGAACCAATACAGCGGCGACCCGGGCGAGATGAATAAAAGTACTAAAAATATTTGAACTCGTAATGCCTTGTGATTGATATCTTCCAGCTATTAAGGTTGAAAATTACAGTTTTTTGAGGGGGTCATCAGAGGTAAAGTGCATGCAGCCAAAAGGTTTCAACTCCAAAAGTCCACGTGGAGTTGCATTACTCAGTGAGGAAAATTGGCAAGCTGTGCGCATAAATGTCACCTTTTGCGAGTGAAAGAAAGCAAGGCTTTACTCGAAGGAGGCTGCAGGTGAGATGCAACAAGTTGGCGCACGAGCCGCCCGCTCTAACGCCTCTGAAATTCCTGATTCTGCAGAATAAGCAAGTGTCTGAGGGAGGTTTTCTGCACTTCCACGCCACAACCAGCTGCTAAATTATTCAGGTGCCTCAGTGCCTGCAGGCGCATTGACTCAGACAGGCAGGTAGAAGCCAAATCACATTAAAGACAAATTACAGCTGGACTGTAAAGGAATGGAAGATTGTGGTCTACCCCGGCTCTATCTACAGCTGATCAAAAAAATTTACAAAGCAACATAATTATTTGGCCAAACCCACACATTTTTGAAAAATACTTTGAACTAGATTACAGCTTCAAGTCTGTTTGATTGCATTCCAACATGAATGCGATTCCAGACGGAACAACTTGAGCACAGCTGACATATTGTATGTTTATAAGCAGCGCTGGGGAAGATACTTTGAAACTGCAGCTTGCCAAGCAAAGCTAATCATAATTTAGAGATTTAAAAAAGTTCTGGTTATAACAAACTACAAACAAGAAGTTGTAAAAACTAGCTACACTAAAGTTACATAAGGAGTAATATGTTTTTGATAAATAAAATGTAACTATAAATAAAAAGATTTAAAGGGATAGTTTACACAAAAATGAAAAATCTGTCATTAATTACTCATTCCGTTTAAAACCCGTAAGTTAAGATATTTTTGATGAAATCTGAGAGCTTTCTGACCCTGCATAGACAGCAATGCAACTACCATGTTCAAGGCCCAGAAAGGTAGTAAGGACATCATTAAAATAGTGACATCAGTGGCGCAACCTTAATGTTATGAAGCTATAAGAATACTTTTTGTGTGCAAAGAAAACAAAATTAATGACTTTATTCAACAATTTCCATGTTAGTCTTCTACGCGTGTTCACGAGAGTACCACAACGCATGCATGAACGCGCATAGAAAACTGACAAGGAAGAGAAGAATTTGTTGGATAAAGTCGTTATTTTTGTTTTCATATTTTTGTGCTACAATGCTACAAATGAAAGAGATAACTTCTTGTGATAAACTGATTCAATAGACTCAAACATACTTTCAAACACACCATAGACTTTCAAACAAAACTGTATGAGCACATTTGATTATTATTACATTGTGCACATTTGTTTCTAATTTATGACAATTCTGCTAAATTAATAAATAGTAATACATTTTTTATGCATTTTTTAAATTAATTTATGTATTTGGCAGACATTATATAAAATATAAAAAATATATATTATAAAATGGATAATTATGAATGTAAATTGAAGCTAGGGTTCAGTTCTGTGCATGCTCATTTTAAAATCATGTTCAAATGTCAAAAGACATTTAATTAAACCACACAACTGATGCCAGCTGTTAGTATAATACCTCAATAGAAGCCTATATATATTACAGTCTGTGTGAGTGAATTCTTGTTAATGTCAGCATTCCATTAGGCAATGGCGTAAACACTGCGGTGTGCTTTCAGCGGTGTCCTAGAGAGAGGTCGGCCTGTCCTTCCAGCCTCTCCAACATCGCCCCCTACTGGGCATCAGGACAATTTCCCCTTCGGACATCTGGTCACTCTCACATTGAGCCTTTAACCGTAGTGATTAATAGCCTGCTGCACGATCTAAAGATTACAGCTCAGTGTATGAATATAAAATAAATGGCGTAAGTACAAGAGACAGTAGTTAAGCTCTTAGATGCTGACTCTTTCACGAGCTCATGCATATTTCAAAATATTTAAACATCCCTTGGCTTTTTCTAAAAAGATAATAATGTGGCAGAATTGGAAGGCAATGTGTGATGTGGATTTATTGAGCTGGCATGGGGAGAGTGTTTTTTCCTTCTCAGTGTTATGAGACTGTGCCAAAGGGCAGGCCATCTTTCACACTGGTAACAAGTGCAGGCAAATACAGGGAATTTAGGAGAGAGAATACAAACGATGGGCATCTCAGGCATGGCTGGATCTCACGACTAACCTTTCCCATTCAATTTGCTGACCAGCATCCTCATTTACATAACAGAATGCAATCTGGGAAATGTGCAGAACAGACTCGGAGTAAAAGTGCTGAGAGAGTGAAACGAGCTGCATGCTAATCAAAATGATTAGCTATAAGTCACGATGACATGAGAGAACTCACAGCATTATATCGTCCAACGGACAGCAGCCAGGCACATTCAAATACACAAAAAAGCCAGGTATGATATTTAAGGTCATCTTTTATGTAATCCGAACCCTGTTTCATAACAACAAGTACACATTAGCATATTATGACATTAATACACCAGATCTGAATAGTGGAGGGGAATATTTTCAGGAAATACTGGGATAGTGCACATAATGAAAATTGTTTCATCAACAAAACGTTCAAAACCTGTATAACTTTTTTTTCTGTGGAACACAGATGATATTTTGGAGAATGTTGGTAACCAACCTGTTTTGGTGACCATTGACTTGCATTGTATGGACAAAATACACTGTTACATTTCTCAAAATATCTCAATTTATGTTCCACAGAAGTCAGTCAGTCATGTAGGTTTGGAATGGTGACCAAAATCAAGGTCATCAGAGTGACAAAAAATGACCACATTTTCACCAACCTATCCCTTTAATGTATGGCTTTAGAAAACTTTATGATATTATGTTTCCTCACTGTCCCCCACATGCATGAATTACATGCATGAGTTTTCATTTTTGCATGCTTTTAATATTGCTCCTAAAAAGCAGCACCACTTTTTATTTATTCATTTATTTCTGAATGTTTAAAAGCCATTTCCTTTGTTATGCACTGTTTAAAAGTTTGGGGTCAGAAATATTTTTTTTAAATGTTTTTTTAAATAAGTCTCTTCTGCTCAGCAAGTGTATGTTTAATTGACCAAAAATACAGTAATATTGTGAATTATTATATTTTCTATTTTAATATATTTGAAAATGTCATTTATTCCTGTGATGGCAAAGCTGAATTTTTATTTTGTATTCAACCGAAAGTAACACACAAATTGAGAATCACTACCTTAATGCAATTACCATAATATACATCTTTTCCAAAAGCAATTTATTATTATTATTTATCAGTTTTGAAAAACTGTCCAATAGCATTGTGACATACTGTAGATAACAACCTAAATACAAGCTGTGTATAATCTAATATCAAGTGGCATGAGGTGTCCTGACAACAATTTCCATGAAAAGTAACAATAAAGCATATTTGTTGTTTTTTAGGAGTAATGCAATAATGCAGCACTGTCAACAAAGATTTTCAGAGGCCTAATCTCACCGCGTTGAAGTTGTGGAAGAGCCCAAGGCTGTGTGGAGGCGGGGTCTCCATCGGAAACTGTAGGAAGGGCTTCATATCCAGATGAGGCTGGATGACTGTGGGGGTCCGCAGAAACGTAGGGACAGCCCCTGTTCGGTTGATGCTTCCTGCAGAGACAAGAAGAGAGAAGTTAAAGAAGCCTAATTCTTTCTTTAAACTTTCCGAATGAGCTTAGTATCTTGTCACTGGGTTAAATTTGTAACATCAAGCCTGAATAAAGCGCCTTTGCTCAAATTCTGACTTTTATGCCGTACAGAGGTGAAACACGGAGGCTCAGAGGTGGCTGTGCTGACACATTTTTTTTGTCAGCACAAAACTCATCAGAGAGATGTCAACCTTTGGTTATGAAACAGCCCCCTCTCTCTCTCTCTCTCTCTCTTTCTGTCTCCCAATCCATGTCACCGAGTCTCTGTTCCCTGTCAGCCTGTCTTCTCTTATCCTTTACAGCCCGCGCAACCTCTTGCATGAGACCGTGTGAGGACCCTCTCATCAGAATTAAGCTTTAGCGAGCAGTTACTTTAAGCTGCTTAATTTCTGCTGCTGGATTTTCCTCGCCTCAAATTCCCTGCAGTCTTAAATCTGTTCCCTTCTATCTTTCTCCCTCTTCCCCTCGCTGCCTGTCTCCTTCTTAATCTTGGATGATTTTTCGCCCTTCTCCGCTTCCATTTCAAGATTGCTCGTCAAGACTACTCTCTCCTAATTTCCTAGTGTAGTTGAGATGGTTTCCTCACGTAGGAGACGTCATTAGGCTGTGCTGCTGTGGGCACACATGTCAGGATGAGCAGGGAGAAAGAATGAAGGAGAAATAGAGATTGAGAGATATGCTGTCTCAGCCTGGCCACAGCTGTTCCTCCTGCTCTCCTGCTGGAGCCTCAGGCCTGCATGAGTCCTGGCATCATTAACTCAAATTAGGCATGCAAGACTCCTCACTGGCTGCACAGCACACAGGGAGATAAAGAGCGAGGGAGAGAAGGAGAACAGCAAGAATAAGGAGGCAGACTGGTTGCAAGATTGCTGGTGAGAGAGAGAGAGAGAGAGAGAGAGAGAGAGAGAAAGTGCCAGTGGTCGCTTGTGAGCACTGCTGGTCCCTGATGCAGTGCTCAACAAAAGTCACATGACTCACACTCTAAATACTCCCTTTTGCTGCAAACGGTTATCTTCAAAAGTGCCGCAGTGTGCCTTAAAGAGATAGTTGACCTAAAAATGGAAATTGTGTAATTTACTTATTCTCAGATGTTGTTATTTGTTCCAAAAGAGACATTTTCTTTGAGTATATAGTTATCAGGGGCTTTCAAGCTCCAAAAAATACACCATAAAAGCACAATAAGATATCAAGAAAGTGATCCTTATGATTCATTCACTGTATTTCAAGTCTTCTGATGCCATAAAGACTGACATTTAAGCCATTATTTACTGTCCTTCATCGTCACAGCAAACATCACACATTAGTTTAAAATATATTAGATTTTTTTTTATGATTTCTGAAGGATCATGTGACACTGAAGACTGGGCTGCTGAATGGCTGCTGAAAATTCAGCTTTACCATCACAGAAACTATTTCATTAAAATATGAAATAGTTCATTTTAAATTGAAGTAAAATTACATAATATTTGTTTTTACTGTATTTTTGATCCAATAAATGCAGCCCTGAGTCAGCTAAGAAACTTCTTTCAAAAACATAAACATTAAAAGACTTACCAACCCCAAACTTTTGAATGGTGGCCTTTGTTTATTAGTAACCACAAACCAACATTTAGTCCTTAACTAGCTGGCCCATAAAAATAAACTAAATGTTTAACATTTTAATAAAAAAATATCAAATTATCAAAAATTGTAAACATTCTGTCTATTTTATTTTTATGTCTATTTAATATATATTGGCATTAAAAACATATCATCAGAGTTTTAAACTGTTTTAACAAATCCCAAATTTTGTAACCGGGTTGAAAGGGGAAAAAATCTTCATTCTAGTGAACAGAAAACAAATCTGCTCATACTGTATACATGATGATGTGAATTCCTTGTATATACGCTATGTTCACATTCAAAATTCATATTGGCATGTCATGTTTGGTTACTGTGAATGTGATGCTAGATTCATTAAATAATATTACTGAACAACTTTTACATTTTAATGTTTTTTAAACATCCGAAAACCATTGTCACTATGAACTGCAAGTAAAGTGATTCAAACAAACAAACAAAAAATATATATAATAATGATATAACTCATTTTTAAGTGCACTATCCTTTTAACTGGCTAAGAGGAAAGAGTTTGTCTGAATGGCACTATGCCCTTCAGCCACATAAACAAGACAGAAGACTAAGCTCTAATGTTCACCGCTACTCTGTGTGCTTGTCACTGCAATACAGTGCTGACATAATTCAGGACATGTTTGACTGATACAGCGTGAGAGGGCCCAAGCCCGTTTAGTCTGTCCACATGCCAGCAGAAAAACGGCACTGATTTGTTGACAACGAGGGAAAGATGTAGAGAGAAACACAGAGGGGAGCAGAACAAGAGTGCACTCGAAGCGTGTGGGGGACAGTTGTCCTTGCAGCAGAGTCAAAGTGTGTGTGACAAAACACCACGGCCAGCATGCATAAATCAGGTCCAGTCTGCTTCCTGCCCCTAGTGTATAATTACCTCATTAAATTAAAGAACACTTTCAGGACCCAGCTCACACTGTAAATCACTGTGACGGGGTGAGTGCATGCGAGTGCGTGTGTGTCATGCGTTTACAAAAACGGCAATAAGATCTCGTACTTGCTGCTCAGATAACGTATGGCGCTTTAACGCATCTTCCATGAAAAACAAACCAATAAAGACCAGCACAATGACAACTGGCTTCAAACAAGCACGTTGATTGGACACTGAGATCCTCCGCTGACAAAGTGCCTTGATGATAATACCAGTGGTCTTAACAGCCTCATCAAGCCTATGTGGCGCAGGGGGAGATGTTGTTCTGCCACTGTATCAGTCTGATTCTCCTAACAAGCTGCGGGAACCTGATCAGGCTGGAGGACAGGAGTGACATGCTAGGAATTCTGCAACACACGCGGGCCCCGTAATCACCACGTTTAAAGATCCTGCGGAGAGGGGGCAGCCGGGAGCTGAGGGACAGACGCACACTGGGATAAAGAAGCTGGTGTGAAAGGAATCTTTGGGAAGAGGCTTTGGAAGAGAGTGATCCAGGGCTGCGTGTGGATATGGGAGAAGTGCGGGATAAAGAGTGGGGGAGGAGGGGTTTATAAATAGAGAGAAGGGCATGGGAAGATCAAAGGCGAGGGGAAGCGATTCAACAAACTCAAATAATTCGGAGCCTGTTTGGGCCTGATAAATGGAATCTCAGGCGTGCTTGCCGCTCTCTAATACTGAAGCTTGGCAATCCTATTTCTTAGGCCGTGCGTTTGCCATTTTCCGAGGGCTGCCATAATTGTTAGGAGCGCGGGGGGAGATAAGGATGAAATGGTTTGGAGATAAGGAATAATCATGATGAGGTCAAGGCTGACACAGCTACGGAAGGAAAGGAGGGAAGATTTTTGCGATGGCTGGAAAATAAAAGGATGTTACTGTTAAAACATGCATAAAAGGCACTGAGCTCTATCTTATTAGTTGGCTGTTCACCTTCAAACTGGGAGGTCAGTAGTTTAACTGGTTTCAGCGGAAGAGAAATCGGTGACTTGGTTTCTTCAGGTGCGGAGAGGCACCCAAGGGAACAACACAGCGTTTCTGGCCTCAGGCTGCTCCCCTGGGCAACATTATTCCAAATTTGAATGCATAAAGTACATATAGGGTATAAATTGGTGTCATTATTTTGCTTTGATTTTTGCTGAATTCAATTCACAGTAGTAAATGCTACTTTAAATGATTTATTTTAATGACAGTATAATTTTCTCGTTACAAAAAATTTACATTATTAATAATCGTGACACTCAAGAAGTAGCATTATTTTGCACCCTTTCGACAGCATAATTGGAATACAATAAAAAAAGTACATATATATATATATATATATATACAGTGGGGCAAAAAATTTTTTAGTCAGCCACCAATTGTGCAAGTTCTCCCACTTAAAAAGATGAGAGAGGCCTGTAATTTTCATCATAGGTATACCTCAACTATGAGAGACAAAATTAGAAAAAAAATCCAGAAAATCACATTGTAGGATTTTTAAAGAATTAATTGGTAAATTCCTCGGTAAAATAAGTATTTGGTCACCTACAAACAAGCAAGATTTCTGGCTCTCACAGACCTGTAACTTCTTCTTTAAGAGGCTCCTCTGTCCTCCACTCGATATATATTCTATCTATTCCTTTTCTTTTCTTTTTATTTATTATACAGTTAACAAAAGCAAAAAGGCCTCTAACACTAGCTTGCTCTATTCTATCTATTTTCTTTTTATTTATTATATAATTTAAAAAAACCTTGCTGCGTGTTAACTAAAGCTAACTATAGCACTTGCGTATCATTGCTCTTTTGTTGATTTTGATTGCTTCCATTGTCCTCATTTGTCGCTGGAAAAAATTTGTCGTTAGATAAAAGCGTCTGCTAAATGACTAAATGTAAATATATATATTAATAAAAATAATAATGTTGGAAAAATGTTTATTATTGTCATTATTAATAATAATAATTATTATTATTTGAATTAGTTATTACATTTATAAAGGGTTATTATTGTTATTACTTTATACATTTTAAATTAAATTGTTTTAAGACATTTCCTGCATTTGGGAAGAGGGCTCAAAAAATCAAACCACAACTTAATAGAAAACAAAACAAGGAAAAATTACTAATGATTAATAGGATTAAAATATCCTATTTTGTATCCTGTTTGTGGAAAGTGCCATTTACATCATTCATGCAATAAAAACAAATGAAATACAAGTGAAGAATAAGGGGTGCAATGGTTACAATAGCAAGAAATGAGAGAAAGGTTAAAAGAAAGAAGAGGATGGCTGGCTTTGGATGAACACAGATGTCCCTTGGCAAGCAGCAGTGGCCCTGAACAAATTGGAGAGAGAGAAAGAGAGAGATTGAGAGAGAGCCAGGGTCCCCAAGAGCCCCTCACTGAGCACCTGTCGTGCAGATGATCCAGAGGA